TACTGCTGCCAGTTGACACGATGGTAATTTCGCCGGGAAACTTGAAACCTATTGGCCGAGGAACCTACTTCGGCCACCACCGGATAGTGGTCCGAGCTCAGTTCCTGATAGGCGATAGGTTCGGAGATGTTATCGCCAATGTTGCTGATGAAGATGTCGATGGTGGCATGAGCTCCGGATCGACTCAACCGGGTGGGAGAGTCCGGACACAGAATGTTGTAGTGGGCTTGCTGCAGATCGTTGTATAATATTGTGCCGTTCTGATTTCGCCGACTATTGCCCCAGGCTTGATGTTTGGCGTTCAGGTCGCCAGCGATGACGAAATTTTGCCGCCGTCGTGTTAGCTTGATGATGTCTCTTCGCAGGTCTGCGACCGAGCCGTCCCTAATGTTGGTTTGCTTGGGGCAGTAGACCGCGATGATGATGATTGGACCAAGCGATGTGCTCACCTCAATTCCAATGGCTTCGATAATTTTCAGCTGGAAGCTTGGTAGTAGCCGGCAGCTGATGTTCCGCCTTGCAGCGATGGCCACTCCCCCTCCCACGGAGCTGGTGCGGTCAAGCCTTATGAGCCGAAACTCGGAAAGGAAGACGTTCAGCTCAGGCTTCAAGTGTGTCTCGGTGATGACGGCTATGAAGATTTGCCGTTCGTTGAGAAAGTCAACAAACTCGATGTTTTTGCTCTTCAAGGAGCAAGCATTCCAATTTACGATCTTGATTGCTTCACGGTCCATACTTAGTGACAAGGGACAGGGTAGCATGTAGCTGTTCAGATCGAGTCTTGCAGGTGCGCATGATGATAATGGCCTCGGCCACGAGCGTCACAAGTTCCTCCGAGGTGAACGGAGAATCGTCAACAGGTTCACCTGAGACAGCAGCAGCGTATGATAAACCAGGGGCGGTGGATGAACCTGGAATTGGCTGGGCCGCAGCAGCAGCGAGACGATGCTGAACTATTCGACTGTTGGGAACCATTTGCATACTCGCAGGATTGGCTTGTTGGTTGTTGAGCGGAAGCGGGGCTAGGTTCGGAACATGTCGACGGGGCTGGAGAGCTGGGTACTGGACTTCCGTGAGTACAGGAGGCGAACGATGATTACGGAGGCGACCGACCTGGTTGTTGATTGTAGCCTTCCGACGGATATTAATGAACTCCACTCGCTTGGGACATCCGCGATTGGAGGCTTGGTGGTTTCCACCGCAGTTGACACACGTTGGCTCGATGTCATCGACTTGCTCACAGGACGCAGTTGAGTGAGTTCCAGCACACTTGCCGCAGTTTGTCTTCATGTGGCAGTTTTTGGTGCCATGGCCATATGAGAGGCAGTTCATACACTGCGTTACATCACGATGTTGGGGTTTGTAATGCTCCCAACTGATGATGACCTGAAACAGGTCCCGGATTTTGGATCTCAGAGCTGCAAGACTGGTGGATCCCTTCGTGAAATGAACCAGGAACAACTGATCACGGAAGCTGGTGTTTTGGTTGGGACACCGGTTCATCTGGAACATGGCCTCAGGTTGGAGCCCAAGCCGCTCCTGCTCGGATTTCACCGCAGCAGCCTCGAACGACGGTAATCCACGCAAAACCACCTTCAGTGGCTTGCTCTGCGAAACTTCCTATTTGTTTGTACTCCTCCAGGCTGGAGCACATGATTTTGGTACCGATACTGCAAAGCTTGAAGCGAGGCAGCAGCTTGTGTTTTGCCAGTTCGGCACCCAGCTTGGCAACATCCTTCACCGGCGTGAAAAGCGGGGGAATCCGCTCTCGTCTTGCAATGGGAACGCCATTTTCTTCCGGGAGTACTGCATACTGGTTGGCTTGCAGTACTCGTTTTCCGGCGTCATCCTGCGACGCGCTGGGCTTGATTAGCACCTTCTTTGAAGGGCCCGCTGCTGGCTCATTGGCACGTTTACGCACCATTTGTTTCGTGTTTGCAAGTTCAATTAAACTTGCCAGAATGCGAGAAGATGGCGACACTTCCACGGCGCAACGCGACAGCACAAAACGAAACAAAATCGAATCGAGAACTCGAGAGAAAATACGGACTGAACAGCTCGACAGTCGAGCAAAGAATGATGAGAGTTGGGGCACATTAGCAGCGCTGTTTAATAGCTTTTCAGATTCAAGCAGCACGATGTGCAGCCAAATTGTACTTGATTATGAGGAACAGTTTTTTTTATAAAAAATTGAAAAATCGTTTATTGAAACAGCTTACGAAAGGTATTTCCTATCGATCGCAATTTTAGATTTTTGATTAACCCCCAGTACCTTCCCGTAAGACGTAGTCTACGTCAAAACCTGGGTATTGCGAACACAGCCGATTTTATTTTGCAAGTCAGCAGGAAACAACTTGAAAATTTTCCGATGAAACATATTGTTTTGCTAATGCACTGCTCTCAAATTGCATATACATGCTGTCAAAAGTTCATACTTTGCTCCATAAATAACGTGTACATGGTGTTGGAAGTGCACCTACCCACATGACTCTTACAAAGCTTGTTTACATTCTTCCTTCAGCAGTTCGTTCAAGTTCGTTTGTTCGTTGTATTATTTACTTTCGAGTGCTATGATTTCTCTTCAGGCGATTCTATTAATTAAGGAAATGTTATTATTGCATCGCAAGATCGTGCCCTGTTTCACCATTGTAGAAATATACTACTAAATTCATTAATTACTAATAAACCGTGCAATGAACGTCTTTCAATGTACACAACCCGAGTTCCTTTTGATTTAGAAATCGGCCGCTATACTATTTTGCTACAAAAATCAACAGACAGTCTACGTGATTATCCTTCAGAACAAATCTTCTATTACTATGCGACGTTGGACTACTGTTATACACAGCTGAGAGAGGATGGTATTGAAAATTCAGGGAAAGAGTTTTCAACCTCGTTTTCAACATACCTGCATTCTGTTCCTTTCCCAGTAATGTTACCAAACTGCCACGAATTGAAGAGCTGTCTTATAAAATCATTGATACGACATAGATTAAACGCGGAAAAAGTATGGAAAATGCGAAAAACTAAATACGATAGTCAAAGCATGTTTATTTGAATGTGATCAATAAATATTATGTACTGTTAATACAAACGTGTAAAAAAAAAATATATAGAACAAAGTGCATTAAAAATAAAGACTTTTTTTGTTGAATTAAATGACAACATTTTTAACATTGACCACAATACTTCCTCTGCCGACGGAGATTGTTTTAAACAGTAACACTTTTAGCAGCTCTCAATCGTTGGATTCTTTTTGACAACCATTTCGTGTTTCTCCGCATCACTCAGGTCAACACAACCAACCTCAACAATTAAATTCAACACCAATCTCAATACTTCCCACACTTTTCTTCGCGAAGCGCTCGTGTTTATTTACATTGCTCGATTGGAACAGCGTTTGACGGTTCGATTGGAACTTTTGGCTTCAGTCTTAGCGCGTCTCTTATTTAATATCGTTTCTGATTTGCACTAGATTACGGATTACGACGTTAAATAAAAGAAGGAAGAAGAAGAAGCTCATGGCCAAGGTCGAATGGGTTTGTTGTTTGAAGATCAATTTCAGTTTAAGTCTCTAACTTCACACAACGAGCAGCCCTCACTGAAGCACGTGCACTTCGCAACGTTTTTCTCGATAGGGGGTTGTTCTTGGATTTCGATGGAGACGAGTGGTCATCCAAATCGCTGCGACATTTAGAACCGCCCGACTGGTATGCAAAAAATTACACAGATTCATCTATTTTCACACGGTCGATCAGATCATTCCAAATTGTTTCGAATCGACTCAATTTCGCCAATAGTGGATTAATTAAAAAGTTAGTATAATTTTCCGGGAAAAAAGTCGTGGAAACCGAGGGAAATACTTCTCGAATATGAGGGAAATCCATTGAAATTTTACTCAGTCTAGGAGTATACTTATCGACTGATTGACCACTGTCGATTTTCCTCAAATTCGAGAAGTTTTTCCTGAAAAGCCCGAAAAATTCAACTCACTTTTGACGCAATTGAGTCGTTTGTGTAAACCAATTGGTTTTTTTTTTATGGGCTGGGCTGTTTCATCAAATAAACAAATCTTGAGTTCGATGATCGAATCTCTTGTGTGGTGTTTACATCTGCGCTTATTTGATAGCGCTACTGTGTTACCTGACTTATAACGAATATACGTTGTATACGAGTACCCCGAATACAACATATGATTCGTCTAATTTTGCATAGCATTTACAAAGTAAAATTAGACAAACTATACGTTGTATTCGGTTTACTCGTATACAACGTATATTCGTTATAAGTCAGGTAACCACAGTAGTGCACTACTTCTTCTTCTTCCTCGCATTTCAAGCTTATTGTGTATGGCATATTAGCTTATTGCTGAGAGCACTTATGTAGTGTTCTAGATGCACTTTCACAGTTATTAATTGAGAGCTTTCGATGCCTGTACCATTTTCGTATTAGTATAATTGTGTGACAAGTACAATTATACTCTATGCCCAAAGGAAATCGAGAAATTTTCCAATCCGAAAAATTCCTAGACCAGACCGGGAATCGAACCCAGCCACCTCCAGCATGGTCTTGCTTTGTAGCTGTGCCTTTACCGACTGAGCTAAGGGAGGTCCCACACAGTGCACTAGCACTGTACTAAAAAGTAGCCAGCATAATGTAAACAGAGCGTCAGCATCATGCGATTTCAGGAACAACTGAAAGTCGTACTAGTTGGTTGAGCTGGCTTAGCCAGTGGACTAGCATAAGTGTAAAAAGAGTATTCTTTTTCGGAGCATTTGCTATTGATTTTGCTAGCAACATTGGAAATTTATCGGGAAATTAGTTGTACTAATCGATAGCGAAAATCGATCGAGAGAATCGATCATCGCAACTAGGCCCTTAGAAATGCTAGAAATTCATTTATTGTGTTGAGTTTATTGTTTCAAAGATTTGAGACTTATTCACTGAATTCATAGGGGAATATTGGGATACGTTTAGAACAGGCAAACCCAGAAGTGAAATCGGTTTTTACAGTTTATATATATTTCTTTATTTCCTATAAAAATATTTTTTTTTTCCATTCTCACCTAGTTATAAATGTAACAAAAGGAATTTTTCTCGTAGAGTTTAGTTTGTTTGGTTTGTTTATTCGATATAAAAATTAGAAAGAAAAAATAGAAATGATACTAATGATCTAGCTTCTGTAGTGTTGTTCGAAAAAAAAAACGTAAATTAAAAAAGAGCAGAAAAATATCATTCGGAGATCAACACTTTGAAGTTGCACGTGCAGTCAGGCAGTCGTCCGGAACGAATAGTCAACTGCTCTACTCTAGTGGTTACTGGACGAGAGATTTTTACTGCTTTGTTGCTATCATTTGTTTTGGTTTCGCGTCAGTTGTTTGATTGAATTATGATTTGTTTATAGTTAGTGACAGGCAAATAGAATTGCACGAAAAATTGCTTAGACATCGTTCACCAGGGAGTAAATAGCGACTTTGGTTTCAAAAATATGAATATAGGTATTTTCAACGATAACAACGTTTACGTTTATCCGATTAAATAATTTCTTTGTTTACATATGTGGTGGCTTAGCTGTTTGTGGGAAATTGATTTCCACGAGGAGGCTAACAAATTTGTTTGTTTCTTTTAGGCTAACGTATTACAAAGTTTGATGGGTTTATCTTCCATGCTTTATTCTCGACGGACAGTGAGAGGAGGTACAGACACAAAAAGTTGTTAGTTCCGTTGGAATTCCAATATTACAAATAATATAAAACATTCAACAGCAATCATATCGTGTTTTTTTTTTGTTTTGGTTTTGTGCATTTATCGCATTCTCTTTGCTATGGTTGATGGTTTACTCTTGCTTTACACGAGGAAATTTTACATTAAACGTTACAAATCACACCGATGGATGTTTGGATTTTGGTTGTCTGTTGTGTGTCAGCTGCTACACGGCAGCGCCTACTGTTTATTTTGTTGTTGTTGTTGTTGTGTTTGTTTTGCTCCGGTTGGAAAGAAAATTAATCGATTTTGTGTGTGTTTGTGTTTATCTTCCCAGCAGCGGAACCAGCAATTGATACGAAATGGACACTAAACTCAGAATTTCCCATACGCTTTTACGACGACGGATGGTTGCTGCCTTAAAAGGTATCATAAAAAACGCTTAATGACAATCATTGACAACAATTATGGTGGATTGGAAACTCGGTGTTGCTTGCTCTCTGTTGGTTTTCGGAATAAGGTTACAATCGCTTAATGAGTACAATGATGCCTTCCGATGTGAAGTAACGTTCGGTAAGATTACAAATGAGTTATTATAGAAAGTTTGAGAACTAACAAAGAATATTCTATGAGCTTTGGCTTCGGTTTACAGGTCAAAAACAGTCTGCTTAAATCGTAACGATATTAATGATTTTGTTTCCTTAGGATGCTCGTTTAAAAGATTATTTTTTTTCCAGTGTAGCGTGGTATTATTTATCAAGTTTAAAACGTGCTTTGGTCATTTTTGTTCTTCTGAAGTATCGTTAGAGTATTTCAATTATGATAAAAAGAGTATGATTCGACGATGTACTATAATGGAGTCCTGGAATCCTTTCATTTAATTTAAGGCCATTTCGAAGGAGAGTCTACTGTTTTGTTTGTTGCTGCTGCTGCTGTTGATTAAAAATTGTATATCGTATAAAATGTCATTCTTCGCTATGTTACGTTAGAAAACTACAAGCTTTGCTGAGAGAGTTATCTTTCGTAGAAGTAGTTTAAAAGCTGTTTGTATAAAAATATGGGATCCTCTTAGAGATGATACAAAAGTTAACTTTCATTTCCATGTATTGCACCTTCGAATCCCAATACCGTAAACTTTTCTTTTATTTTCAATTCGAGCAAACAACACCGAGTTGGGTTTATATGTTTCATATATAAATTTTACATCCAACAAATTAATAATTATCGTCTTTTTAAGACGTTTGTTTGGTTTCCTTTTTCATTACAACAATTAACCACTGTTCTTTCACTGTATCACACTTTTGTTTTTTCTTTTATATATATTTTAACTACTATTTTTCAAATGTCCAAGGTAATATGTATAAATTTAATTCTTTTGCCTATAAGAAGTGTACGCTAATCCAATTATTTTCATTGACTTAAGGTAAACTTTTTCTCTTTCTTACTGGTGTAAGACCACAATAAACCTCTCCTTCAAAAAATATATAGTAATCAACAAATGGAATATGTATAAATGTATGTTTTTTCCTTTTCACTATATGTATGGATGTGTACGTTTCATGTGTGTAAAACTGTGTTTGTGTGTCCATGTATGTGTGTTTTAGTGAAAACGAACTCGGGTGAGTGTGTTGGTATGTCAATGCCTACTGCGGTTATCTTATACTTAGGGTTTCCGAAAGAAGTGTTCCACACATTCTTTACAATTTGGTTTAGCTATTTGAGTTTTAGAACATGTCATCTTTTTCTGGTTTTAATTTACAATTTTTGGCTTGGTTTGGATGATGGATGATGAGTTGATATATTTTTTTTTGTTTATTTAGCTCACTACGCGTTTTCCTATACAACAATTGAAATGAGAGGTGAGATTTCCTATCACTATCAGTGTAGAGTTATCGTAACGTATAAAAGGGCGCCGGATTGAATTCCTGTTCGTGGTAAAAGATCCGCCATACAATCTTCCACATCATCGTCCACATAACAATTTACACTCTAAACATACTCTAAACAACGTCGAACGAAAGAATGGTGAGCCGCGGAGTGGAATCAGAAACACCAAACGACCCGGTCCACATTCCCTATACCGCTAGTCGACTAATTACAGCGTTTCTTAACTTCTATAATGGAAAACATTTGGTTTTGTTCTTCAGATTACCTAGGGATTGACTACGAGCCTTCCGCAAACGATCGCCGCCTGTCGCATCTGTAGCAGCAGCCACCGCCGTCGTCGTTCGATCTGGCTCCGATGGTTTCTGTTTATCTACCGTTTTACTACACTTGTTATCTACTACAGCTACTTCTTTGGCACTATCGTGTTGCATTTTGAGTTGGTCCTCGGTATGTCTGTTTATCGTTATTTCATCGGCGTCTAGGTTGATGGGTTCTAGTTTCTGCATTGAGTATCGAGTAGGGAGTTCAATAACCACCGCTGGTTGGACGTCCAGTTGGTCCAGGTGCATGGGTTGCTGGCCGTCCTCTTCTTCGTCGTACGCCGGACTGCCAGAATAGCTGGCAGCACGTGATTCCGTTTCGGCGCGCGAGAACAGCAGATCAAACTCCTTGGTAATTTCGTTAGTGAAGTCCGATATCGCCGGATCCATCATATACGGTTCTTCATCTAGATCGATGATCGTGTATTCGCTTGTCAAAGGATTTACAACAGTCTCCCTCGTTTCGGTAGGTGTTGTCTTACTGTCACCTTCTTCCGCCAGGTGAGTCTTCAACAGCTCATCCATGGTTTCGTCCGAAAACGATCCATCCGGCGTAAGCGTGAAATCTTCGATGTTCCAATTCTTTATCTGCTTGATCTCTCCGGACCCACTGTTGGCTCCGTTGGCCAACGTTTCCTCGAAGATTTCACTCTTAAGCGACAAGCTCAGTCTCGATGTGCTACAGCTATCTAGGTTAGCGTTCTTAACGGTATCAAATGCATAATCGGTTAACGTAGATTTGTTCAGTGTTCCACTGGAATTGCTCAAAAGTTCCAGCGAGGTAGTCCGCTCTAGTGCCGTCAAGCAATCCGACTTCAAGAAATATGGATCAAGCGACGAACTTAGCGCAATATTGTCTAGATCACCTTTCGAGCTCAGGATACTCTCCCTGGAACAAATCTTATAAATCGTCAGCGTATCCTGATCTTTACCCGCGTCGATTGCTTCCAATTCTTCCTCCGTTACCTCGTACTCGTCGTCCACGTTGTCAAACTCGTTATTACTATGATGGAACAGAAAATCGTGTATGATCAATTTTTTTGACTCATTCTGAGGCATCAAGTAAATCTCATCACAGTCTGAATCCATCGACGTAGCCATATCCATAAGCGGGAGCTGCAATTTCCTGTCAGGTATTGCTATTCCCTGCTCTTCATGGATTTCTTCTTCTTCTTCTTCTTCTTCGTCATCCTCCTCCTCATCGTCATCTCCCTCTTCCTCTTCCTCGTCCTCCTCCTCTTCATCCCCTTCTTCATCATCTTCCTCCTGGTACTGGTACGCCTCCACCACCGTTCCATCTTCCCGTACCAAATTCCCCCGGTAGTAGATGTTCTCTATGCTCAGATTCTCTATATCTTCTTCGTAGTACTGCTCATCATACAAAAACTGATTGTAATCCTCCACCTCGAACTCGTCCTTCTGTTCCTCATCCGGGTAGCATGTATCGTCGTAGCTATCCTCGTTCTCATACAACGTATCCGACCTGAACGAAAACTTCGGTTCACTCTTTTGCCGCAGAAGCTTAAAGTTCCTTCGCTTGTACTTCCGTATCGCGCCCAGACTACGGTTCGGATCGTAGGGCTCGGAATCCGTTCCACTTTGACCGTCACTGTGGTGAATCGCTTCATGTTTGTACAGCCCGCTGAAGTCCTGCGAACAGAACTTTTCGTACAACTCCATTGCACTGAGCCGGACGCTGCCGGTCGTATTGTAGAAGGCTTCTGACAGCGGAGAGGTGCATGTAGTTTCCAGATTCAGGCATGCAGTGCTATTGTTCTTCAGCGATTTCTTCGATCCTTTCGTAGACTTCGTTCGGAAGTAGCTAATCTCGTTGTTTGACTTGGATTTGTTCGGGGAAGTTTTCGCATTGCCATTGCTGGTTGCGTTGTTACTGCCGGAGAACAGAAACTTTTTGCCTTTGAGAGTAAACACGTTGCCTTTCTTCGTACCGAAGAGGGAAGACTTGGAAGAGCTGATTGACGCTTTGGACTGTGAGTGACAGGATTTGACAGGCGAGCGTTCTGCAGGTTCCGTGGTCGGCTTTGCGGGTGAGGTTTTGTCTTCAAAGAACATGGTTTCCTTAAAGTTCGGTTTACTCTTCTTATCGTACAGAGCAGAAGTGCTGAATCGCTTGCATTTCAAAAGTTTATTCATCCTCTTGAATCGACCGAGGTTTTTCTCGAAGATGTGACCGAACGAACCGTCTACGGAAGGATTCTTGCTACCGTCCGACGAAGTTCCCAGTTCCAACTCCGTCGGCCGATCTGCCGTTCGTTTGAACTTGATATCCGTTTCACTAGCCTTTCGCGCAGTGCTGTCTTCTACGCTTTTCGAGCGTTCGGTTTCCTTCTTCGAATCTTCATCGGTCTTGGTTACTTCCTTCGAAGAGTTCCCACTTTCCTCCTGTTCTTGCTCCTTCTCCTCAAAAATGTCGAACGTATTCTCGTAGCTTTGATTTTTCCACGTACTGTAGTCCGGTTGCTTCTTACCCACCTCGTCTAGGGTATCGCTATCACTTTTGTACTCTCGCTGAAGGTTGTTCTTCAGATGCATCTTGTAGTCGGCTTCCATCTGTTCCAGTTCCATCGTATCGGAGAACACCGTGTCGATTTCGTCCGTCGAAATGTTTTTCGAACTTTCGTCGGTTGATTTGTGCGTCTCCGAGGATGGATTGCTGCTGCAGTACTCGGCAAACTCCCGTCGCTTTTCGTGAGTCGGAGTGTACTGCGAGCTCGACAGGCTTGATTCCTTCTCGTAGATGTTGCCCTTGAGGAACTCCGAATCGGTACGGATGATCTTCTTGGACTTGCGCAGAATCGGTTTGCGCATCGGCGAGTAGTGCGACTGGTTGAGCTTCATTGTTCTACTATCTTCTAATGATTTGTTCTTCGGAATTGTTTCGATCGTCTTTTGCGCGTTCTCGGTCAACTCGGAATTGCTATTGGATTTGGTAATCTTCTCTACGCTAGAATGAACACTCGATTCTTTAGTAATGTAGGAACCCGTACTTAGGCTTCGGCTTTTGGCGGCTTTCAGCTGCTGTTGCTGTTTTTGCAGCATCAGCGGATGATTGAGTGGCAGATGATGATGAGGCGACAGGTGAATGATTTCGGTGTTTTGCTTCAGCAGCGTCGGACCGTTACCCGGCCGGATGACGCCACTGATCTGTTGTTGCTGTTGCTGATGATGGTTGGCCGTACCGATGCCGGGATTGGTAAGGGCAGGTCCAAAGGCGGCCGTCGCTATGAATGGGACCAACCCGGCACCGATACCGCCGGCGGCACTACCGATGGCAGTGGCAGTGACCTCGTCAACCCTCTGGGCAAACAGTTGGTTACCGATGATGCGTTCGTTTAGGTTCATCGTCTTTTGGCTGAGCCGCGAAATTTCGTTGGAGATGTCGAACGTGCCGACGGTTTTGAGCCGGTCCAGCCGGCCGCGATGACACCTCCGCGGTGGATCATTTCCACCCAAACTGTACAGGCGGCCCTTCTTCTTCCGTTCGCATATTTTGCCGTTCTTGTCGATAACAAACTTTTTGTCGTCAAACGATTGACCACGGTCGTAGCACTCTCCTCGTTGCAGTTTTCTGATTGACTTTTCCACGATTACACGACCTGCGTTCGATAGTTCTTTGGAGAGTTCGGAATTTGAGTACTCGGGGGTCAGCGGGATGCTTTTGCCCCGGCCAAATTCGATAAACCTGCAAGAGGGACGAGAGAAAGAGACGGAGAGAAGATTTAGTTAAGTAAATTACCAGGAGGGATTCCGTTCCGTTATCTTTTGACTTGTGATGGTTTATTTAAGAAAACAAAATGTAGGTAGCGAAACTAAATGAACAAATCCACAAATGAATGACAATGTTAATGCATCCGGATAAAACCAGGGAATAGTTTATAATTGTGTTAGAATGAAATTAAATTTTACATTCGAAATAGGACGGTAAATATTAATCTGATTAGCTGCTCAGATATAAATTATAATTTATTAATTTAAATTGAGTAATCACGTTATCCGATTATAGTTAATCAAATTGAAAATCCAAAATGAAGCGCCAGTAATCTATGTCCAGAAAATAATTAGATTAATTAGTTTCGATTGAACGCATATGGCCAGGGTTGAATGCTGTCAATATTGTTGAGGTTGGAATTGCTACCAAGTTCGGTATTATTATTTCGTAGCGTTGCATGTGTAACGGAGTAATTCGTAGATTGCATACTGGCAACTGTCATGTATCACCTTTAACGTTCTTATTCTGATTGCTTAAGGAAAACTATTTGGAGTGAATAGATCTCCAATCAAAATTCAGAATTGGAAAAGTGTGACGATTACCTATGCCGGCCACACCCATTTTCTTCGTTACGGGTAAAGGAAGGATATTGTTCATATAACATCTACTTAACGGGAGACCGGCGACTCACCGTCGCCCCCATAGATGCTAAGGAGTTGCATAGTTAGAAAGGATATGGGTCAGGATTAGCTTAAGCAGGCGATGCGACCATAGTAAAGGGTGTCCCACACCAAATTGCATCACGGAAAAACGCTGTAGAAAATTACCTAATAGACCGATCCTTTTCAAACTTTCAGACAATAAAATATAACCCATTAGTAAGCTTTTGGCATATTTATTTCATTCAACTTCAATACCATAACCGTACGCTCGTACCTTACGCTTAACTCCACTCATTAGGTTCCATACGACATCTGGCTGCAGCTTCTTCTGTACGGAAACCCACTTTTTCTTCATGTCTTCCTCAAATTTGACCTCCTTGGGATGCTTCCGTAGTGCCTGTTTCATAATAGCCCAGTATTTTTCGATGGGCCTTAGTTCCGTTGGGGAGGTTCATGTCTTTGGGTACTCCAGGACAACATTTGAATAGTGGAACGAAGCTAGATCCAGCCAGAATATCGTAGGGCCTCGTGTTGCTTCAACAGAGGAAGCAGATGCTTCGGTAGACACTCCTTGAGGTAGATCTCCCCGTTTACAGTCCCGGTAGTCACGATAGACGCACTCCGTTTGCCACATGAACAGATTGCTTGCCAAATCATGAAAGTTTCTGCTTCCTTACTTCCTCCGGAACATCAAACTTGTGCTGGGCGGTAAAGAATAATAGCCCCAGAAGCTGCTGGAAGTCCGCCTTGATCCATGATGAGACAATGAGGCTTCGTCAGTATCTGAATGTACAGTTTCCGGGCCCGTGACTTTACCACTGTATTTTGCCGATCGTCACGATTTGGAGTCTTCTGCACTTTGAACGTATGCAGTAGACTTATGCAAAATTTGACTTTTTCGCTCCACAGTGCTCAAATTGTTTCAAATCGGGTCCTGATTAGCCTCCCAAAGTTACAACTCATTTGGTTAGAAACAGACTTCGCACAGCCATTTGAAGTTTACATGTAAATTACTATGGGAAATCTCAACTTTTTGTTCATTGCCTTCCAGTCTTTTTCCATATTGACCTGAGAAACAGTTCGATAGCAATTCTTATAGAAAAAATTTTCAGCTACAAATTAGCTCAAGATCGTTTCTATGTAAAACGAGACAGGAAAAAGTTATTAATTATTTAAGAGATTGGTAAACTTATGACAAGATCAAGCAGCAGCTCTGTAGGCAACACTGTATTTTGCAGTGTAACTCTTTTCCTTTATTTAACGTCGGTCTCTTTTCCGCAATCTAGTGCCAATCACCGACGGACATCGATTGCCATCCATTGACGGCAACCGAATGTGCAGGAAGGCAGCTTCCACACCTGCGTAGGATATCGCACCCACTCAACACACATGGGCCGGGACCAACGGCTTTACTTCCCTTCCGAAGGAAGACGTGACCAGAGATTTTTTTGCCTCAGAAAAATCCCACCGACCTCGGCTGGGGATTGAACCCAGACCCATTGGGGTGTTAGGAAGCAGTCACGCTTACCACTACACCACCGGCGCCGGCGATTTTGCAGTGTAACATAGAAGACATGATTTTTGTGTCCTATTCAACGCCCCAGAAACACCAATGTTGCCTGCTGAGCAGTTGATTGAGCATGATCATTAGACATCAGCGAATTGAACCATTGATAACTTTCGATCCTTGCATTTAATCAAAAAGAGGTCTTGAGCAAAGTTGTAGCTTTCCTACAAGTGCAGTGGAAAGCTTTTGAAGCAGACCGATATGGTGAATTATTAGATAGACAAGAACAAAAATCTTGGTCTACCATAGTAATTCCCATACAAACTTCAAATGGTTTGTGCCATCTCAGTTTCTCACCAAATGGGTACAAATTTTGAGAGGTTAGCCAGGATCCGATTTGGAATCGTTTAAGTATTGTGTAGCGAAAGTTTCAAATTTTGCATCACTCTAGTATGCAGTCTCTCCCGATCCTTGGCCAGTTCTGAGGACTACTTCAAAGACAGTCGATAGCCGTGGAGATTAATTCACACTCGCTACGATTTATATCCTTCTGCAGTTAAACAAAAACTATTTCAAGAAGCTCCACTATTAAAAATAAGTAACAATGATGATGTACTAAAAAATATTCCATACGATTTGACAGGTAGTAAAAAGTCATTATAATTGTTCACATCATTTCCATCTGCTGGTCGACCGTCACTTATATTCATCAATTATTATTAACTATTTAGGCTGTGAATCATTTGGTGGATTTATTTAACTTTTGGTAAAATTTTGACGGATGGAAAATTATTGATTAACCCTGCTATCCGAGCGTGGTTATTTTGACAGACAAGAAGTTAAATTTTGACAACCGTGGCTGAGTTCTTCTCGAAAACCGGTCGATCGACAGAACAGGGATTTTCGAACATACAGAATAGCTTTCGAAATGTCACTTTTAACCACGAGTTATATTTAACTCGGCAAATAGTTCACAGCCTGTGTTAAATTTAACTCGTGGTTAAACGTGACAGATGAAAAGTTATCGAATAACCCTGATCCGAGCGTGATTACTTCTGACAGAATAGAAGTTAAATTTTGACAACCGTGGTTTGAAAACCGATCGATCGATAACACCGGGATTTTCGAACATTGAAAATAACTTGTGGTTGCAGTAACCCCAAGGGGTATTCAACTCTGCACATCCCAATCTGTGCCGAGTACTTTATCTGTGCCGAAAGCTAGGTCAAGCGTTGTGCTGAACGTGCCAAAGTGTGGCAATCAAGCTATCAGTCTCAGTAACCCATGAGTTTGGCAACCCTGCACTTATGATTTTTGCGATAGTGTGTTTACATTTTCAAGTCAAGGACGGAAAAAAGTCGTTTTAATATTCAACGAGCTGGTTGCCGGTCATCCGCTTCAACGAAGTGGCACTGGAAGATTAGCCTCTCCGCGAGAAGGAGAAGGGTCAATGATGGCAGAAGCTGTCCACCCAGGAGAAGACAGTTCTCTACCGTGTGTCATTCTGGCAGACGTTTGCCAAAACCAAGAACCGGCAAGTGGAACATGAATCTTGTCTGCAATATCGTCGGCAATGCTACAATCTCAAAAATACGAAGGACTCGACTTAAAATGCCCACCGGCGGTATTAGTAGCAGCAATAGACCCGTGGTAGCTTCATAGTGTCAGCAGTCGTGGTTAGGTACTAAATTCGTCTGACTCCGACTACTTCATCAATCGTTTATCCAAATGTCGGTCCAGAATCTCGATACTGATTGCAGTCGTTTGATGATTACCTCCTCCTTGTATCAACCTGTTGTTCCATCTTATTTTTTTCCTTGGTCATTTCTGAATCGCATATTATGTAATCTCCCTGAAACTGCTGCCGGTTCCGATTGCGTTCGTAAGACCGCGATTTAGATTGGCTCGGTTACCTCCGGTGTGGTTACCTTCACAATTCTGTTAGCAGCATCTTTCTTAATGTTGCTGTTGACCTCCACAGTCAATCGAATCCGAGTTCAGTTCATATAATGAACTGTATGGCTGACTGATTGGTGAATCATCAATCGTACCGAGGTGTTATGCGGGAGAAATAGCTGCCATTGCAGATTCATCTGAAGAATAGTACGATCGTTCGGCACCGGGGTGTTGTTGACACCGTACATTATCGCTGCAATGCTTCTTACCCATACAATTGACTCTCGGTCCGGATCCTATGGCCATCGAGTTAATACTTAATTCTAGTCAATTCCTGTTAATTCTGGCCTATTCTGCCGGGCGTGGTGACTCTCACTAGTTCGTTTGGACTTCCCTGAAACTATGGACATCTCTCAAAAGCCGTGTGTACTTTCTGTAGAGGTCAATCTTGTAGGCATTGGATTCCTGTAAATAAAATGGGAGCACCGCTGGACAACTGTAATTGAAGTTGTTCACAACATTACGTGCTGTTTGACTGTATATTCAGAAACATCCTCTAAATGAATATACAAGTGGATCTCAGACCAGCAGTTTACTTCTTGGTTCACTTATAGATCTAAATACGAAATATATATTATCGGAGTTAACACCAGTTCCAACCCAGTGCGAAACCGAACTTTTTGTCAGTGTGAACCTCAACCTGAGCTAGGTTTTAAAAACAAACGAGCAAACTGACGTTTGTCAGAAAACAAGCAGACCCAATCTTGATATCCGATCCAGGTTGGAACTGAAAATAAACGAATTCGCTAATAGATTCTAGTGTGGGCTCAAGAGAAAAAGGTAGTTTATCAGACCCCATTAGTACTCTTAATTCAAATAATGCTGCAACTCACACAAAACAAACTGCAGTAGTCTATTTATCATCCTCTATAGCGGGTTTCCAACAATGTTCCCCACCTGTTCCAACTCTTTCCGGTCGCTGATGGACAGTTGCTTTTCACATCACTATGAACACAAAACACCAAAATTTTGCAGACCCGCCACTTCCCGCGTCATTCTCAATCCGATTTATCCTTGCGATTTCAAACCAAAACATTCAAGGTGTCAGAAGCACCGGGTTGCTGGGATGGGTATTTTACAAACAATCGTAGCTTGCTCTATCACCGGCCCAACCGGTACACCTGCGGCACACTTGCGGCACACCTGCGGCACACTGACAAAAAAGATGACCCAAGATTGATGTGTGGAGTGACCTACCCCTTGGTAGAGAAGACATAAAGACAAAAAAAAGTGTCGTGAATTATACAATCTTGTATAATTGATTGGGGACAATTTCGCTGGAAAGTGGCACTGACAAAAAAAATCCCTTTCCCCCCTTACTTTGAAGTAAACGAAGAAGTAAACATTAGCAACGATTGGCAAAATGTCAACACAAAACAGTGATGCCATTTAATATTATATTTTGTGTCATACTTGTCATCGAGTGCCATGACGCGCCGATCAGTGTGCCACGATGTGTTTCGGCACAATGTGCAGAGTCGATTACCCCTTGAGTAACCCAGTTTTTTTTCGATATATGCAATTAGATCAGCATCTCTACACGCGTCGTAGGGGCACTACGGATGAGAATCATCTTGACCTTTTTCCAGAACTAGCCTCCCATAAAGCGCTCCTCGAAAATCCTAATAGATTTTGACATAGGGTAGAGAACTACTTCGGCCTAATCGCCCATTTTGGGCCTATCGAGCAGAAAACTTCAAATAAATCCATGATTTCAGAGTTAACAAGTCAATTATGCGTTTGGTTCGATACTTTAGTTAATAAGCTACCGAACGAAGTCAATGAGAACGCGTGGTGTGAATGTTTGCACCCATTATTCCCAAAAACAAAAGAAGCGCTCCGACCGAATAAATTTTTATCTTCATCCGATAGGCCGAACTGAATTCATTGGCGTTTCAATGCGTTAGGCCGAGCTTAGAATCCGTAGGCCGAGTTTGGCGTCAAGAAGCAGCGTTAGACTTTTGACAATATCTCAACGATTGGTTTCTCTTTATCAAATCTTACGGTACGTATGAAAAGGTAAATAAATTTGGAAGCCATCAGTAATAATAACATTCCGTTTCATGCTAAACTGCGCTAGATTAAGAAAGATTAAGTGCAGGTTGTGCTTAATAGGAAGGAAATGGGGTAGTTAACCCTATTTAAAAAAATTTTGATCATTCTAAATTTATGAAAATTTCGAACCATATTTCAAATTCATGTTAGTTTATATTCTGGACATTAACATTTTCAATTTTGTTTAGGACTTATGACAACTTAAGTATTAGATTAGACCAAAGCATGATGTTAGTATGATATAAATGTGATGTAAACGAAAACAGAACAGGTAATCATCAAAACTTACAGAAACAAATCAAACAAAACGTAAAACTTACCAATAAATTCTAAACAAATTATATCTAAATGACAAAATCAGAAGCTCCTGTGAAAATAGAAAACAAGTTCAAATTCCTATGATTAATAAACAAAAATATTACAAAAGACATTTGATGATCTATTCTAGCCTTATAACAATCAAATTGAACCATCAAACTTACCACAGATCATCGTGTAATTCGCATTCTCACTTCTTTTCCTTCAAGTCTTTATTCAAATAGTGTAGAACGTAGTGTAAAACTAAATCGTAGCAGTATTTATACTCAGTCTGCAGTGAAAAAGGGGAACGAGAGAAAGAAAAAAAAAACCGAAAAGAGGGGTAATCAATTTCCCTGTGCAATCATCAGCATTCATAGCCCGGAGAAGAGGGGCGCTTCCGGACGAAGAAACTCACCATATTGTCCACCAGCTGGGGCCGGTGCCTTCGGACCGTTTTGACCGCCTGAAATACGTCCACCTCGCCGTGCTGAATGACCTGCTCGATGCACGCGTTCGCCGCACAGTACACTCCGGCTCGGCTGCGACCGTCTCTGTAGCAAAAACAAAAAGAAGAAGCAAGGGAGGAAAAAAGTCAAATCATTGAAATGAAATAGATGCAGCAAAAAGCAATGGCCCCAATAATTAAAATCGATTAGGATCGTAGAAGAGAGGTTAGGGAGAACACATTTCGATGATGGGGAGACGATTGAATTCATTGAATTGGACAGTATTGAATCGGTTTGTGATGGTGAGAGAAGGTGAACATTGTATGGAGTAATATTTTGCAGAAATGCGATGGAAATTGCTCGTCAGAAAAGATAAGCAATTTAATAACGAGAAAAAAATCTCGATCAAATCGGCGTCAATTATTGTCACAACCTGAGCAGGAACCGATAACTAACCGATAACATATGAATATCTTAATGTTGTATGATACCTTATTTTAGTATGCTTGTTGGATAAAAACTTATCTAAACTAACAGTTATCGACATACTTTATAAAATTTGATTCCAAAATAACAAAATGTTATCTTTCAGTTTTTAGAACATAATACCTAAAAGGGCTCTTGAATTGGTATTAGAAGTCCTTTTAAATAACAAATTATGTTATTCTTGTGTACAAAAAAAGCTTCTGTTATCCGTCAGTTAATTTAATAAATATATTATGTATTAGTTCGTTATTCGTAGAACATTAGTCATAGTATTTTCATTCCTGAATTTGGAATTAATAAGTTATTTTCTCCTGCTCGGGTAGTTGCCGACCAAACAACGTAGGTAAAGTTTTTATTCGTTTTCACTTTGCTTTGAGTGGCAAACGATGAAACGATGCATTGAAAATGCGAGGCACATTTAGCTGCGGAAAAAGGAGTCGCCATTATCCCGATGGTTATAGGTTTCACTCAGGCTGATTCATTTCAATGGAGTTCTCATTGGCGCAGTGTGGATTGCGTAATTGGCGAATTTTTGCCGTGTTGATAATTGAGATCGGTGGATTGAAGAGCATATGAAAAACTGCATTCACAGAAGCGTTTAAATTATGTCAACAATTAAAAATTTCTGGCGTAGGTTATAAGGGTGCTACGCTCCTCCATAATTTTACATGCCACTGAAATTTGGAACAATTTTTAAGACTTAAAGCTGTTTAATGTCGTTTTCACTTTTACGGAAGAGAAAAAAAATTACCCTTAATTTAAATTCTTTTTACTTAATTTTTGGTAAATTTGAGTTTTGCATCCCACTCTCACTTTTGTTGTTGTCAAAAACGGAACGAGAGATTCGACTTTCGCATGACTATCGTTCAATAAGCTACTAGTGAGTATATGAGATATTCTTAAATTTGAGTAAATGGAACTTAATTTTGGGTAGAAAATACTCACGAGTAAGTAATTATTTTTGCCGTAGTCAAATGCAAACTACTATAAGCGGTTTACTGAAAATTAGCTTATTGAACAGAACATGGGAGATGAGTGAAAAGAACTTAATTTTGGGTAATTTTTCGGTTCCGTGAGCATGAATAAGCGCGAGTCTTTGACAGCTCAACATTATTTGCTTGTAAACAAAGGAGCATCCTACATCTACACCCAAAATTATTTCGGTGTACGGCAGTGTAGCACCGGTGTAGCAAAAATTTCTGCTCACAACACTTCTCATATTCACCACCAAAGGTTGAATCAATCGCTTAGTTTCTATTAAAAAGACGTATGGGTTCTGCAATATGATACCAAGAACATCTTACACGGAAATGTCGTGCATTGCTTCTTTAACTTGCCTTGTCCTTTTAACAGATTTAAACATTCGTTTGTTCTAATGGCGAGCTACTTGGTAACGCGTTGTTTTATGAGCTTTACGACTACCCAGTACCACAGAGAACAGACGTTGAGGCACCGACAAACCGACATGAATGACCATAGCTAAAACAATAAAATTTTCGGACATAAGTCAGAATTAAGTGTCATGTCGGTTTGTCGGTGGTTGAGGAGTGTATGTGTAGACTAGACTAGACTAGATGTCGGTTTGTCGGTGGTTGAGGCTCGAACTAAATTTCTGTAAAAAGTTGTTTAAAGATTCCTATTGGACTTAAGCGCCACTAACGGTGACTTCCCCACTTAAAACCCTCTTTGACAACCTGATGGCGCTGGCGTTGCACAACTTACACTAGACACTAAGTGCTGGTAGCACCAGGAGGTAATTTTCGACAGATAATTTATAGATACTAGCGTCTGTTCTCTGTGCCAGTACGTACTCCTCAGGTTCTGGAACAGTATGCTTCACGATCCCACAAAGATACGATAGATTGTCAGCAAGAGTTTTAAGGTCAATGAAAGGATTAGAAATTTCTTAATGAAATGAAATGAGACGGTAAAATATCCAAGTGTTTTTTCACCCATTAGTGGGTAAAAAATATACCCATTTTTGGTTATTATAAATGGGTATTTTTATTCATTAATGGTTTTTCACGAAACACCGTGCAGGGGACCCTTTTTCCTGTCAACCATATATACACAGAAATTCAAAACAACCCAAAATTAAGTTCTTTTCACTCATCTCCCATGTTCCGTACGATAAGCCAAATTTGGGTAAACCGGCTCAAAGTAGTTTGCATTTAAGCACGGCAAAAAAAATTACCCATCGCTAAGTTATTTTCAATTTTTTCTACCCAAAATTAAGTTCAATTAACTCAAATTTGGGTATATCGCATATTACTCAATTTTGGCTTCTTGTACGGAACTAGACGGTTGAGTCGAATCTTTCGTTCTATTTTTGACAACAATAGCGAGAGGAAATGAAACGGACAGAGGTCAAATAACTCAAATTTAAGTTTAAAAAACCCAAGCGGTGGGTAGTTTTGTTTTTCTGTGATACACGGGAACAAATCAAAAATCCGAAATGAGAAAAAATGACTCATGATTTCATGAATATAGCATATTTTCATGTTATGAAAATACCCCATGAATAATATTCATGATATCATGAGCTATGTTTGCGTAACGCACCCAAGATTCCCGAAACCATGAATCATCCGAGTTAAAATCATGAATTTAACTTTTAGCTTTCAAACCAAAAATAACTAGACTAACTAACAAAAACACTTGACTAACAGTACTTGTATAAGATGGAAGACAAAAGGCGTATGTAGTGCGTTGAGCACGGTTTCCAGGTAACGCTTGAAGCGGTAATGATTCCGCTGCATTATGATTTTTATGTGACCACACATAAACAGAATCCACCCAGAAGCACACATGAAATTTATGAGTCAAATGAATAATATGTGTGGTTACACATGGCTTTTATGTGTACACATTAGAGTGATGCAAAATTTGAAATTTTCGCTCCACAATACGTAAACGATTCCAAATCGGATCTTGACTCACCTCTCAAAATTTGAACCCATTTGGTGAGAAACTGAGATGGCACAAACCATTTGAAGTTTGTATGGGAATTACTATGGTAAAACCAAGATTTTTGTTCATGTCTATCTAATAATTCACCAGATCGGTCTGCTTCAAAAACAAACAACTGTACTTGCAGGAAATTTTCCCAGCTACAACTTTGTCCAAGACCACTTTTTGATTAAATGCAAGGATCAAAAGTTATCAATGGTTCAATGCGCTGATGTCTTATGATGATGCTCAATCAACTGCTCAGCAGGCAACATTGGTGTTTCTGGGGCGTTGAATAAGACACAACAATCATGGCTACTATGTCACACTGCAAAATACAGTGTTGCCTACAGAGCAGCTGCTTGATCATGTCATAAGTTTACCAATCTCTTAAATAATTAATAGCTTTTTCCTGTCTCGTTTTACATAGAAATGATCTTGGGCAAAGTTGTAGCTGAGAAAATTTTCTATAAGAATGGCTATCGAACTGTTTTGCAGCTCAATATGGAAAAAGACTAGAAGGCAAGGAACAAAAAGTTGAGATTTCCCATAGTAATTTACATGTAAACTTCAAATGTCTTGTGCGAAGTCTGTTTCTAACCAAATGAGTTGTAACTTTGGGAGGCTAATCAGGACCCGATTTGAAACCATTTAAGCACTTTGGAGCGAAAAAGTCAAATTTTGCATCAATCTAGTACACATATTAAGTATGTGTCTGATACATAGATATAATTTGTGGATCACATTGCAAAAATCCATGTGTCGGACACATAAAAACAATCTTTGAAATTTTATCAGTGCGTAAAGAAATCATGAATCATTGTTATGATTTCATGTGATGGCATGTTTTTTGATGTTTTGTTTTTTTAATCATGAAAATGGTATCGGATTTCTGCCCGTGTGGATGCACTAAAGACATAGAGGTAACTCTAAGACCAGAGGGTCCAGAAGAAACGTACTCAACTTTTTGGCTCAACTCTGGGACTCCCTTCGGTCACAAGCTAACCGATGCACGCCTCGAAACATAGGAAAATCCACGAACCCTTAATTTTATCTGTCAAACTTTCATAGCGAATCAAAACAAACATAGTGGTGAATGCTAGAAATAGTAGCTTGTTGTAGTCATTCTCACCCACTATATTCATCATATTGATGTGAGCTCCACCGAAATTCGCGATTTTTGCCCTCGTGTTGACGTCTGTATGCAGCGCGCACAGCACACTTGATAGCCGCTGACAAGGATGGATCGCTCTTTTGGGACTTTTTCGTTACTTTTTAATATAGAATGCTTACATTAAATCCAAATTAATTTTAAGTTTACCCATCTTAAAAAAGATAGTTTGGTGCTATTAATCTCCCTATCAAAATTGAAAATATCTGCACCGTAGAGCCACACTCTGTGTTTTCAATAAAGGTACACTTGAGAGCGCTCTCGAGTGTAGCTTCAGTGAAAACACTGAGTGTGGCTCTACTCTATTTTAAGATGGGTTAACTGAAAATTCAATTGGATTTAACGTAGGCATTCTATATTAAAAAGTAATGAAAAAGTCCCAAAAGAGCGATGCATCACTGACCGCTGTTTAGATTTTCTCTTCTTGGTCACACTCATCAGACCGTCATCCACCACGGCGAATAAGTGCATACAGACGTCAATAGTAAAACACGGTGGG